TGCATCCAGATCCAAGATACAAGAACTAATGCTGTTTCTCATTTTCTTGAGCTCTACCCCCAAGTTTATTAAGGACATCTGAATCATTAGAGACAAGAGCAATTTAAAGTTTCATGTGAAAGCTGAAATATACTGCTTGGTTATGGCTCTTGGTTTATCTTGGGATAAACTGAAAAGAATCCAAAGTACAACAATTAACTGAGAGGGGATGATTACATACAGGTAGATGGGGAGAGCTATCTGAAGTATGTGGCATGATGTAGCATCACTGGTGATGGCATGAAGCTGAATCTATCATGCCTTGAGGAAGATTAATTACTTAGGGGTAAGAATTACTCACCACAAATAAGAAAGTGAATATTCAAGTATCAGGAAAAGCTTGGTCTTGTAAAGGAAAGTGATCAAAGCCATTTTATGGAGCACCTAACAAATACCAGACAAGCCAGTGGAATTAGTCATCATTTTCATCGAATGATGAAGCTGCCTTTGAACCCCACAGCCAAGAGCTGATCCATACCATTCTTCCAGAGTTAGCAGCAATCCTGCCTGTGGTCAGCAATTCCAGGTAGGGTGTGTGCCTGCACTGAAGACCTAAACTGAACTGAATTTCAGCAGAAAGAAAAAAATCAACTTAAAAGTGCCAAGTTCTCACACACCATTGAAGGGAGGTATTCCCCAACTCCATGCTGCTTCCCAGCAATAGCTTACTCATTCTATAAACCTGATGAGAAAAAATCATCAATGCCTTTTACAAGGCTAACCCCAAAGACTAAATCAATTTGTTTATTAACCAGAAGTTATGCTCAACAAAGAGCACACACTGCAGGTTAAATTCAGAGAGTCCCATGGGAGGCAGTTTCCAAGCAGCCAAGAGCAGCCTTCACGTGCAGTTCAGCTTTGGTCTGTCCTTCCTCTATCCTGCCAGCAGCATTCCCCAGCTGGAGATCAGTCACACTGAGACACTGCAGCCAGGATCTGCCTTTGATGCTGCCCACACCAGAATGGCTTGTGCTCAGCCAGGACTGCAGGCAGTGGCAGCACAACAGACCGAGGAGCTACAGGGAGGGCACACGGTGACACTTTTACTGCTTACTACAGTAAGAGGCACTGAAACAATAGTTACACACCCATCCCCAGCCCCCACCGAGCAAAGCTAACATCAGATAGAGACTTTTGGCAAAGGATGAAATCTAGGCATTTTTTAAGATCATGTTACATGCTCTGACTATAATCTCAGCTGAGGCCAACTAACATGCCTGCATGATTTAAGTCACCCTGCTCTGGGTTTTGAGGATTAATAATTTGAAGTTTGCAGATGCATTGTATATCTGCCCAAGAGAAAAAGTGCTGTCTCACTTTATATGACAATAATTCTGCTTGCAAAGTTCCCTGCTCTCTTAAGGTTTTAACCAATTTAGTGGGGGAAGCCTAGACAAGAGCAATCAAAAGACACATGCTGCAAACACAAGATCCCAACATTTTCATAGGCTACAACTTTGTGACTGTATATCTGATCCAAAGTTGGCACACTTCACTTGAATTTAAACAAAAGTAACACACTGAGAAATCACTATCAGGTGGCCATTGCATTAGGGGACAGAAAAAGTCTAAAAAATCTCAGTTTTCTAAACTCAAGAGATTTCCAAGTTAGCACTGGAAACCCTGCATACAGCAACCACAATGCGAGTGCAGGATTGATACCAGAGGAAAAACCTACCTCTAAGCAGAAACCAGGTAATACTGATTTAATTTCTTCTAATCTATATAAAGCAAACAAGTGCATTTATTACAAACAAGATAACTTGTTTAAGCAGCAAGGCAAACTGATCTGTCTTTCAATGGGTGGCAACCACAGTGTGCTTTCTTTGCCCTTTACCCACAGAAAACCAACTTGTTTCCTATTTCTGAAACGTTCCTGCTGCCAATAACTATGTAATTTGCAACACAGATCTAGCTCTGGGCCCAAGAGCTGGGAGGAAATGGGATGATGTGGACTTGACCTCTCATGATGGCAATGACATAAGACATTACGAAATCAAAATTCCCAGAAAAGACTCAATTACCAACAAACTTGCATCAGCTTCTCTCACAGCAAGACAGAAAAGCAGTTCTTTTCTACAGTTTTATGCTTGTTCTATCTCTTCTCTGACTGTGAGGGGTCCTCCTCATTCTGAGGTACATCAGCACTGTGTTATTAGCACAGGCACACACCGACACAGAAGGATGACACACAGTTTCCCCACTTTTTGCATGCATCGTTTACACTGTACTGCACCTGATTCATCAACCTTGAGCAACAGGAAAAGTATACTGGGGGCAGAATACTGGCAGATATACTGTTCTGGATGACCTGCTGAACCTTCTTACTTCCCTTAATCCCCAAAAGGAGGCTTTCCTGTCTCTCATTCTCCAGCTCTTTGTTATTGCTACAATCATCGCCACATTCCAGAATGATTTTTTTTTTTTTTTTTTTTTTTTTTTTTTTTTTTTTTTTTTTTTTGCATCTCTGCATAAATTTGTAACTTAATGGCTTCAGGGCAGGAAGTCTTCATTTTGCAGCAAAAGAAAGCACTAGTATGTACAGACAGCTTGCAGAACAGCAAATTTACTGTTCTCAAACACACCATGGGCCTTCTACTACCTAACAAAAGGCAGAGAGTGACTTTGACCACGACACTTACTGGAAGAGTCAAGTTTCAACCAAGAAATCAGAAGGATGCTTCAATCTTCCATCACAGATTTTCTCTGTGTTGACAGCAAAACCTCTCCTAGTTTTCAGCCAGTACAAATCTTACATATTCAAGGAAAAGTTTCCTTCAGTCTGCATTCACTTGACTGAGGTTTGCAAAGCATCATCCTTCTTCATGCAGGGTCATTTGACTGGAAGTGCTTATCAACGTGGCTAGCAAAAGAAAACTTAATTTTGATGAAAACAGCATACTTCTTAGTCTTCATCTTGCCATCAAAACAGAAGACCAGCTGATCCTACCACAGGCACACTCAGGCTCTAAAGTGTCAAATGCCAGTCAGTTATCTACAACATGCATTGTTTCCCACAGACACATATTCACATTCCCAGGTCTCATGGCATGAAACCAAGCACAAGGGTTCCAGACACACCCCAGCATCTCAGCAATGCAAAGAAAAACATGCAAAACTTTCGATCAGCTGAACCATATGTAGTGTTAGTATGGGGAAAGGACTAACATCACTACCACAGTTCTGCAATTCACATGAAAAAGCATGGCTGCTGTTACTGCCACTTCATAATTCAAGAGCATTCACAAATAATTAACAACAAAAGAAAAAAAATCCACGTCTGTTCACTGAGACCTGACAAATTTTGATTCCCATCTCAGAACACCTATTGCCTAAAGGGGAAATGTCACAGCAATCTTCCAGCACAGAAATAAATCCAGCCTCGTGCACCACTGCTGCCCCCCCATCCCTACTACATGAATTCAACACTCGCTTGTGCTTCAGCTTTTTCTTTGTTTAATTTTGATTTCCTCCACTTTCCCGGCTAACCAGAGCGCTGCAGCTGTTCCAGCCTCTCGGGAGAAAGTCAAGCAAGGCGGCAGCCCTTGCACACACACACACACACACACACACACAATGCTGAGCAACACTCGCACCTGGCAATGTCAGGGTGGTCGTGGTTACTTCTCCCTAACCTTCAAGTTCCCAAACTGTTCCCACAAACCACAGAGAGGTTTGCACCTGGCAAGACCCCATCCACAGCCCCAAACCACACACCTCTGCCCCACCAGACTCGAAGATGACATCCCATGGGAACACAGGGGGCTTCTGACCCCACCACCTTCAACCTCTGCTGAGCAAACTCTGGCCACACACGGCTGCTTCCAACCTGCCATGACAATCCAGCCTTCCCTGGCACGGGAACACCCGAAAAATTAAAATTTGGGCCTAGAGCTAGCCGGACAAACCCCCTCCACCTTTTTCCTTGTCTTTCTGGTTTTCTGCATGCCTTTTCATCCGAATCCCCCAGGTGGGACTGAATGGCAACACGTTTTTCTCCCAGCTCTGGGAATGCCCCGAGTCGCCTCGATAGAAGTTCCACGGGGGTGTGTGGAGAACGGGGAAGTTCGCTGTTGGAGCCGTGACCCAGAGGATCCCAACTACCCAAACCCCAACCCACGGCCCCGGGCGGGCACTGGCACCGGGATAAACGCCGGCCAGTGACACTAAGGCAGCGCCGGGGCTGCTCCCCTGCATGGCGGGGTCAAGGGGCAGCGCTGACCCGCACCCCGCAAGCACAGCGAATACATACATGAATGTACTTGTATGAATACACATACGAGAAGATGACGGCGCCCGTCCCGCAAAGGCTGAGCGCTGGCAGGCACTCACCGCTCAGGTAGTTGGTCCACTTGTACAGGACCCCCTCCATGCCGGCCGGCCCCCGGCCCCATGCAGCGCGGCCGCCCCCCGGCGGGGTCACGCCGCCCGCCGCCGCCCGCGCTCCGCCGCGCCGCCGCCACACAGCGCCATCGCGGGGGGGCGCGCGCCCCGCCCGGCCCGCGCCGCGCCCGCCCCCCGCCGCCGCCGCCGCCACGCTCCCAGCGCAGGGAGCGCCGCAGCCGCGCAGCCACGGCACGGCCCCGCGGCGCTACGGCAGCGCAACCCGCGCTGTGAATCGCGGCCCGCGTGACCGGCGGGAGTGAGAGGCGGGCGCGGGGGGCAGGCGCGGAATGCCCAGAGCAGGTGGCCTCACGCAGCCAATCGGAACGCGCCCTCGCTGCGGCCGCCGCCCAATCAACGGCCGGCAGCGGCCGGCTCTATTGTGCGCGCGCTCCGCGGGGCTGCTCCGCTCGCCGGCGCTCCCGGAGCGCTCGTCCCGCCCACCCCCCCCTCGGCTGTTCGGGCCTGCCGATTGGATGGGCGGCGAGACGGACAGGGGCCCGCCCCAATGGACGACAGGTCCTCCTGAGCTCGCCTTGCGGAGAGCCAATCAGCGAGCGTGACGCCGGTGCCGGACCGTCGGGAGCCGGGGCTGGCAGCGGTGCGCGCCGCTGCCACGTCGGACGGAGCGGCCGGGCTCGGGGCGCGGGATGGCGGCGCGGTGAGAGCGGCGAGGCGGCGGCGATGGCGGCGGGGCTGCTGCTGCTCGGCTCTGCCCTGCTGTGCGCGGCGCTGGGCTGCGCGGGCGCGGCGCTGATCCCCCCAGCGCCCGACGTGAAGGTAGAGGTGCTACACAAGCCTTTCCTCTGCCACCGGAGGACCAAGTGGGGGGACTTGATGCTCGTTCACTACGAGGGCTTCTTGGAGAGGGACGGATCCATGTTTCACTCGACGTAAGTCGTCTCCGGGCGAGCTGCTGGCTGAACTTGCGTGGGGAAATATATATATATATATATATATATATGTGTGTGTGTGTGTGTGTGTGTATGTATGTATATGTGTGTGTGTGTGTATGTATGTATATGTGTGTGTGTGTGTATCTATAGATGTGTGTGTATATATATATATATGTATATATGTGTATATATGTGTATATATATATGTATAGAATGCCTACAGCTGGACGTGACCTTAAAGATTCCTTGACCCTTCACTAGATCAAGTTGCTCAGAGCAGCCCCTCCCGAGGCGCCTTTGAACGCTGCCCAGGTTGCTCAGAGCCCCATCCAGCCTGGCCTTGAACACCCCCAGGAATGGGCTGTCAACAGCTTCCCTGGGCAGCCTGTTCCAGTGGCTTACCACCCTCACAGTAAAGAACTTCTTTCGAATATCTAATCTGAGCCTGCTCTCACTTTAAAGTCATCACCCCTTGTCCTGTCACTACACAACCTTTTAAAAATTGTCTCTCTCCATCTTTTCAGTACCTCCCTTGAGGTACTGGAAAGGTACAATTAGGTCACCCTGGAGCTTTCTCTTTACCAGGCTGAACAATCCCAGTTCTTTCAGCCTTTCCTCATAGGAGAGGTGCTGCTCCATCCCTCCAACAATATATATATATATATGTATATATATATGTACACATTTATTTATTTTAATATAGGTCATGCTTTCGTAAATCCAGGCCTCTCACAGGCCTCCACAATCCATCTGGGAATAGCCCTGTGAGAAGCATTTTGTCAGGGGGGAAGTGGTTTTTTGTTTGGTTGGGTTTTTTTACTCCTCCCTCCCCAAATGCCCAAAATCGATGCATGAATGCCTTATTTGTTTTGGGATAAAAGAGCTTAAATAACACTGCATAAACTTGTCATTGGGGTCCCTCCCTCAGCTGCCTGTTCTCAGCAAGTTTGGTGTGAAGCAGTGTCTCACAGTGCTGTACAAGATGAACACCAACAGTAAGGCCACTCTCTTTTCCCAAGGTTATAAAATAAATCTTACTTAGCGTTTGTTTTCTGGTCAGTCTGTAGGAAGTAGAGCCATGTGGCATTTCTTAAAAGATTGGGATGTTATGCATGGAGCACCTCTCCTGTGTGGAAAGGCTGAGAGAACTGGCACTGTTCAGCCTGGAAAAGAAGAGGCTTTGAGGTGACCTAACTGTGGCTTTGCACTACCTGAAGAAAGATGGAGAGAGACTTTTTGCAAGGGCCTGTAGTGACAAAACAAGGCGGGGGGACGGCTTCAAACTTAGAGCAGGTTTAGATCAGGTTATTAGAAAGAAGTTTTTTCTCTGAGGATGGTGAGACACTGGAACAGGCTGCCCAGGGAAGTTGCTGACAACCCCGTTCCTGGAGGTGTTCAAGGCCAGCTTGGATGGGGCCATGAGAACCTGGTCTAGTTGAAGGTGTGCTCATGGCACAGGGGCTGGAACTGGATGATCTTTAAGGTCTCTTCCAGTCAAACCATTCTATGATTCTGTGATTTAGGTGCAGGTTTTGGTATGTGATCTCAGCGGTTTCATAGGTCTTGTGCTACGCATAAATTTCTCTTTGGTTTCCAAAGCAAGCTATTAGTTAAAAAATAAAACAAAGTTACATGTGTCCTTCCACTAGCGGCAGCACAATGACAGCTTTTCATTATTCTTTACCTGCCCCCGACCAGACAAGTCAACATACCAGAGCCACAGAAATGCAAATAGGAGGAAGAGCCAGAAATTCGAGGGAGTCTGCTAAGAGCCTGCAACGACTTGCTAATGCTGGATGTCCTGTAAAACATCAACGGAGTGTTAATAGTGGGAGACAGCAAAATGTTCAAGTCTCTGCAGGCTGCCTGAAGGCTACTTTTGTATATGAAAAAAAAGAAAAGAAAGAAGACTGTTTTGCATGTTTATGCTCTTGCAGACGATTCAACTAAAATCTCACTAATTTTCTCTTGTAGTTAACCTGCCTCTTTAAAAGGACTTCTAGTGACACACTAAAGTTTTTGCTGCTGACTAACTTCTGTAAGTGTTCTGTTTTCTTCTTAAACACCTCTCCTGCATGACTAGTAAATAGAGCTTTCAAATTTCTTGTCTGTTAGTAGAGTGAAAGTAGTCTGAGTTGTACCATCTGGTTAAATCAGAAAAAGGTCCTGTGTCCCAAGTCTGAAGTTGAATGTTTTGCAAGCAGTTGTTTCTGTATTTTCTAGACTGTTATGTAGTTGCTTTGTTGGTTTTTTTTATTTTCCCCAGTGGCTTCTTTTGAAAGAGATGAGACTGATGCTTCTGAGCATGTTAAAATGTAGATTGCTATGATGACCATGCTGGTACAATGGCTTTGACTGTAAATTTTTAAGAAAATGCCTTTTCTAGTCCGATCAGTTTCCAAGTGGAAGTAGGTGGTCAGGGAAATGGAGATCTGGGTTGGTTAGTGTGGTCATAAATACACAAGGTAAATGTTTTTTTTATTTCTTTCCACTTCCCAAAGAACCTTGTCATGCAAAGCATAAGTTTTAAGGACTTTGCAAGTGTAGGCCTTTCATTTAGGAGGTGTCAAGGTGCTGAGTGGTGCTGTGTTTTTTACTCTAGATCTACATTATGAGCATATTCCATCAGCCCTTTGTGGAACTTGGTGTTTAAAAATGAAGTCTTTTATTCCTTTCTTTTCCAGTCACAAGCACAACAATGGTCAACCTATGTGGTTTACACTTGGCATAAGGGAAGCTCTCAAAGGCTGGGACAGAGGGTTGAAGGACATGTGTGTGGGAGAGAAACGGAAGCTGACCATTCCACCAGCCCTTGCTTATGGAAAAGAAGGGAAAGGTAAAACATGTGAAGCACTCCCCTTGCTCAAATTGTTTCTAACTTCTGTATTTTACTGTTATTCTTGGCCTAAGAGGTTAGCAAGCTTTCAAGCTTTCCAGGTTGATTCTGTTAAAGAAGAAAAATTGAGGGAGTCAAGTGCTCTTTCTCATAAATTTGTTTCCTGCAGTAATGTCCTTCAAGTGGCTGTGTTGTAAATGCAGGGGAAAAAACCCAGAAACTGATGGTAGCTGCTGTGCTGTATGTTCTGAGTGTCTTTTCTGTTAGTGCTGTGCTCAGCAGAAGCACAGCAGAAGCTCAGTGCCCTGCTTTTTCTTTTTGTTTTTTAGTTTGTTTTTTTTCTCCCTTCTTTTGCAGTCAAGTGGAGGTGGTTGCTTAGGTAACAGTTGGCTTTTTGGCTGTTGGATCTGATTTTGTGGTAATACTTCATGAATGTGCATTTGCAAGATTCATTCCTGCTTTCAGGTTTCTTTTAGAACCCTAAGAAACTTCCTGTACTGCTGCCCAGCCAGTTCTTAGATGATACAGTAAGAAGTCACTGTTTATTTCTCCATATAGGGACATTAATGCTTTCCCTCTTACAGCTATTTTCAGTTTGGGCAGTGGTCCCTGTTATCCACAGTAAGATGTGCATGGGCAGTCATGTTGTCACCTGCTGAAAATGCACTGATTGCTGTGCAGACAGATATAAACATCTCAACATCTCTACTACTGAGGCTGTTGGGGGCTTTTCCTTCCAAATATTTACAGATTCCTTTAACAGGAAGGCCAGATTTGGAATATGCAGTTAAGCAAGTGACAGCTTGAATGGTTCTACTTCTGCTTTATGGGATTTGTTTTAGTTAACTTTTTTTAGCAGTTATTATGAATATTTATGCCATGACAAGAGTTGCAACAAATGACCTACGGTAATGGAAGGTTCCAAAGCAGGAAGGATAAATGTCTAGGAGCCTACAGTCCATCCTGCTGCTGTTCTCTCCCATCACTATGAGACTGTTTTGGGAATGAGGACTGTTTGCATGTCTGTGTCTTCTGGCAAGTAGGGCTACACACAGGCTTAGGGCTCCATATTACCTCATGCCAGGTACTATTCATACCTACAGCACACTTCATACTCTTCTTTATTAAATGTACCCGTTCAACACACATTTTTCTAGAAGCCCTGGTTTATGGTTCAAGATACAGTATTAGAAGTAATCATGTTTCTAGTAGAGAACAGGAACTTTGTGGTTGTCATTCAGTCTTTATGCAGAGCTCAGCTGTAAATTTTTTCACAAAAAGATGTGAAATGCTGCAGTGCTCATGTAGTCATCACAGGCCTAATTGTTTGATTAATATGTAAAGCACTGTAGTTGTTCTTCAAAGACTTGCAAGCCTCACCTCTGTGTTTAGTGCAAGAAGGTTAAACAGCTAAACACTGCTAACTGCTGTAAGAAATTACTTGCTTTAGGAAGACTGAAGTATTTGAGCATAATTATGTTGCTGTTTTCAAGTGATACCCTTGAAGATGAAATTATTTCATTTTCTTCATACTTTCCTTCAAATGCACATAATTTCACTAGCCTCCCACCTTGGTTGCTTTCTGACTCATCATTTGAGTCAGATGCCTTTTTCTGTAACACTCAAAAAATTACCTGTGTTTCAAACTCTAAACAGGGCACCGTGCCCTGTATTTCCAGAAAATTCTGCACATTTTTTCATCCCAGAAATCTTCAAGCCTGTTTGTTGCTGCAGCTCAGGGTGTATTTAACACCATGGCTCCAAAATGGTAGATGTGGATTATTTTTCCCTGTCTTCTCAAGGCACAGAAATAATTTTTGGGGTGCTGCTGTCCAATATAGGGATATATTTGGTGCTGTTCAACCTGTCTCTGTATAAAGGAGCAAAGTGATGTGCTAAAAGGTCTTTGACAGTAGCTTCAGCCATCAGCATGAGGGCATATCACATCTCTGTCAAAGCCAGTGCCTGATGAACTGATATCCTTGAGGTGTGGTGGCTGGGGAGTGCTCTGTGGCACTGTTAGGAAGTTACCAGTCTCTTCATCTAGATCAAAAATGATATTGTGGTAACACAGGCCTTGTGATCAGGTTTGGGTACTTGGTTTCTGCTGTGTGTTTGGAAACAGCTCGGTGCTTTGTGCCCTGAGTCCAGAGACTGCTGTGGGAGACCAACATCATCCCTGGCCTTTTTCTGCAAAAGAGCTTTTCCAGTGGCAGAACAGCAGATACAAGGTATCAGCTGGCAGTAGAGAGGAATTTGGGGACTGTTGGGATATCCAGCGTGCTAAATTCTCCCTTCCTGCTGCCCTGTAATTAGTCTTGGCTGTAGCCTGTCTGACTGTACAGTCTCCTTTACTGTTTTCCAGTTTATCTGGCTCTGGCCATGAAAGAAAAAAGATTCAAGATCATTGTTTGATAAACTTGTGATGGTAATTGCTGAATAAGAGCTTGCATTAACACCTACTACTCCACAAGGAAACAGTTGCATCTAAAGTTACATTTATGCTGTATGGGCTGCTCAGAGTTCAGGCTACAGGCTGACACAGTTGTGTCATCGCTGTTTGAGATACTTGTCCTTGCTAGTTCAAACTGCAGGATGCTTTGAAATGACTGGGCTTGCTGGAACATTGCTCTGATGCATGTGGCTATTGTATGGCATTGAATATATAGTTGGTTTTAACTTTTCTCCATTTTGGGCAGGAAAAATTCCACCTGAGAGCACATTGATTTTCAACATTGACCTTCTAGAAATTAGAAATGGACCAAGGTCTCATGAGTCATTCCAAGAGATGGATCTTAATGATGATTGGAAACTATCCAAGCAAGAGGTGAGTGGGTTATCCTTCTCTTGTGAGCAAATTTAACAGGATGGGAGAGTGGAAAAGAATGCACACTGGAAAGAGAGAGTGGAAAATCTATGCTACACTGCTCTGACCCTTGTATCCTAGTGAAAATTCTGGACTGGAGGTTCAAAAGGAGCCTTGGTAAGCTGAGGACAGACATGTGACTCATGTGCTGCACGCTTGTGGAAGACTTGGATAAAGTAAAGCATCTTAGAAATAAAACCAGACTTCAGGGCTTTTTGGATTTAATTGCTGATTTATTAATAAACTGGGATTTCTTCTGCTGTAGGGCAATCCTATTTCATTGTGAAGGACATGTATTCAGCATTATTCACCATCTGTTTGCCTCTCATTTTCAAACTTCTGCTTTTTCAGCAAAAGTGATCCATGAGAAGCTAGTGTAAACCACTGAGTTCTTTTTGATTTGGGTCTGGCACCAGTTTACCAGACTCAGAAGGCTAATTAATAATATGTATGTATCAGAAAGTCTGGGTTTGTAATGCCTACATATTAGGAATGTAAGCATTAGCCCTAGCAAATCCCAGAGACTGAAGTGACTAAAACAGACCTGAAATGTGGCCCATGGTTCTTATACAAGTATCTGTTGTATCTGTTTCTGGTATCTGTTTAATAGATGTAATATGTTGGTATTACAATTTTTATAGAAGGCTCTGTGATTCAGAACACTTGGGATCTCCATAGTAAAACCTTAAAAACTTATTAAAAGCAATCTGATGTTGTCGAAAACACTGCTTGCCATTACTATCTAGCTTAATGTAAGTAGGTGTTCTAGTGATGTGTTTAAAACCTGCCTTGAGTTTAAAATCCTTAAAAAATCCTTGCATCTTTAAAAATTTTGAGATATCTAAAAATCTTTTAATGTATTTCCCATTGGAGCAGCAAACACTGAGATTGTGGAGTATATATCTGGAGTGGCTGTTTACATGTACTGGGTTATCAGGGTGCTAGAATGTGGGAAAGCTGTCTCTGACCAATTGGTAGCTAATAACTTCTGCCCAGCTATTTTTACTTTACTGTATAGACATCAGAAGACAGGCTGTCCTGACTCATTTTTTGAGTCAGATAACATAAAGGTATGGCAACAGCTTTGCTAGTTTTACTGTCACTTGTATCACTAAAGACCCTTCATTCAAAGAGACTGCAGAATCAGTTAGACAAGTATTATGCTGTTATCTAATACCACCATCCTGAGCATAGCATCCCTCTGTTATGCTGCAGAAATCAACTCTTTCATGAGTCTGAAAATGTTCACTCTCACCTTTGTCTAACAGGTGAAAATTTACTTGAAGAAAGAATTTGAAAAGCATGGAGCAGTGGTAAATGACACCCAGCATGATGCTTTGGTTGAAGACATATTTGATAAAGAGGATGAAGACAGTGATGGGTTTATATCTGCAAGGGAATTCACGTACAAGCATGATGAGCTGTAGAAAGAAAAGAGTGGCATAATTTTTTTGGACACAAATAGCAGTGACTTAGACTGTCTGGTTCTCCTGTCATCTTAATTCTGTGCTTTGGAATTGACAATTGCTGTTGGCAGAGAAACACTTTGTTTATATAAAAGAGAATTTTTGTTCGTTATGTACAAATGTTTTAAACTGTTTTAAAGTGTGAAAATGTTCCTCCTCTTACACAGTGAAGACTTGCACATCAGTGTTTTAAAGTTTTGTATTAAATTATTTTTCAGAAATGAAACAAACTTTCCATTTATCATTCATTATGAAAATCAAAATCCAGTTCAGTGACTTTCTGTGATTTGTTTGTGTGCCAAGATCACTTTCAGCAGCTACCTTACATATTACTTGTAGTCTGTGGCTTAATTTCTTGACCTTCCTTCTTGAGTGTCACTGCTTAAAAAGCAGTTTGCTGACCTTGGGTTTTTTTTCCTGCAGATTTTCAAAAGATGTAGTACAAGGCATCAGCATCTCTATATGGCTGAGAAACTGATACAAAGCTGAATGAGAAAAATGACTATCATGTGCTGATTTGCCCTTCTAAAGGGAGAATGTTACCACCCATGCCAATAATTGTCTACATTTTTCATTAAATTTTGTGAACAAAGCAGGAGTTAAATGTCAGACTTCCACTTCTACTGCCAGCAACATTCTAGGAAACATCTGTAATTTGGAAAGCAGCAAGTTGTGCTGCAGTGCAGAGGTGGTGTCCTTTAAATGTACAGACACATTTGTTTTGAAACTCAGACTTGGCATTCATCAGAAAAGCTCATACCTTTCTCTCACAGCTTGAGGGGGATCTTGAGCAGAATGTTACAAGTCTGAAGTTTTTCCTCTTTGCAGAAGAGAGCCTACTGACAGGAATGAAGAACAGTTTCCATGGACTTGTCTGCAGCTGTGTAAGTAGCAGAACTTGTTTCATTGTCCCTTTGCAGCATTTTTCACAAGTAGCACACAAGCAATATGAATTTTCAATTAAAAAGTGAATTTTTAGGAAAAAAAGAGGTGTTAAGGTAAGTGCTATGGTGCTGTGTCTTTATAGAGGTGGACATCATTAGGACTTCAAACACAAAATTGGAGTTGAAAGATCTTTCTGGAGAAGAGATATTTTACAATTGTCCATGGTTTCTTAAATGAGAGGGCAAGGTATGTCAGGGACAGAATTTATCCTGACATCACTAACATATGGGTCTATGAACACAGCATTGTACTTGGAAATCATTGCCCAAAGCCATGTAAGGATGCACAACAAATCCAGTTGTGTGAAAGTGAGATTGCTGCATTGCACTAACCCCTAACTACTGCAGACTGCATTCCAGGCTCTCGGTGCTGTAGGTGTGTTAGATGTTTCCCTGCCACCTAGTGTTGCAACTGAGGACTAGAGGACTGCTTCCTTGAACAGCTCAGCTGCAGAGGGGTGTGCAGAGAGGCCTGTCAATAGTGACAATTGAGGGGAGAAGAAAAGTTGTGAGGGTATGCACTGCAGGGCTGCTCTGTTTTGGTTTTCTTCCAGCATCTTAGAGTTTGTGGGTAATGTTCTAAGTGACAGGAATTGCAATCATGTATTTTGTTTTCAGTAACCTTAGGTCTTTTTCCTCAGTGATGCCATCTGCTTTTCTTGAACCCAATAAAATTTTTACTTCTAATGCTGTGAGTTTCAGTAAAATAGTGAAGGAAAATGCTTCCCTTCTGTTTCAGGCTCATTTCCTGCCCTTATTCTTTTATTGTGAAGAAATCATGAATAGTCACTACCTATTTAGCGGTTCTTACTGCTCATGGTTCTGTCTGTTGATATTTTTTTCTCATCACTTACAAAAAATCAAGCTTGCCTGACTTCAGTTTGCCCAAGGCTAGTTGCATGTTCTGTGCTGGCTGTCTTGATTTCCCCTACAGTCACCAGAGCATTGGGCACCTGGGGCAGCTCACTGCATGTGTGTTTATCTTGTGTTGAGATAGCTGCCTTACCAAATAGAGTCCTTCTCTGTTGACTGTGTGGGGAACCTAGACAATTACAGCCTAGGCCAAGGGAGGATAACAGGATATGAAGTTGATCTTTATGCCAGTCTTGCCTAGATGTGGGGACTGGCAGGTACTCAACCAACTGAAGGGGAAATACTGTGTGTGTGTGTGTGTGCTGCTGGGAAGAGCAGAACTGAGGCTTTCATTGGGTCTGAGAGGGCTTTAGATCATGGAATAAAATTTGCCCATGTTACTGACCTAATTCATTAAATGTTAAGATTAAATAATGGAGTGCCAATATGTGACTCCAGTAAGGGCCAGTTGTTTCTTTTGTATTAAATGGGAGTTTATAGTCAGTGCTGTGAAATGTACATAGGCATAATCTTCTGCTTGGATTTTTAAAGCATTTCATAAAAATAACTTTCAGTGAACATACAGTTATTTGTTAATGCCAGCAGAGTGTTAAAGCTGCAAGACCAAGATGCCTTATTTGGTGTTGTGTTTAGGTTTATGCCAAATGAAGAGTATGGTTTTTCTTAGTAATTTGTTTGAGAGCTGTGTTAAATTCTGAAGTTGATCTGAAAATGTTTTTTTTTAAGTGCAGATTCAGCAGCAGATCTGAGAAGTCACTTCAACTTGATTATTATTTGCTACCATTAAGTCCTCCTGTGAAGATGAAAGGCTTTCTTAGGTAGAAATAGCACTGCCTGTTTTAACCTCAATTGCATTTGCTTGTTAATCCACAGAACAAACTGCTGCAGTGCCAGCAGGAGCCAGCCAGCAACCTGCAGGACACCAGAGGCAGGCAGCTCCCTGTCCTCTGAAGTGGGGAGGAATATTGGAACTTCAGTGGCACTCAGGAACATTTTGGTGGCTTGTGTGTGAAGTGTGAGATGTATTCTCCCTGAAGAAACAAACCCTCACTGCATATCTGTAAAACATGGCACTTGAAATGGGGAGAGGGTTCAAAACAGACCACTTTCCTTCTGCATCCTATAGCCTTCAAACATTTCTTGTTGGTTTGTGGTTATTTTGGAAAATATATGGTGATGTTTTTTAGAACTGCAGCCTGTCATTCACAGCCAGTACCTAACAATTACAGTGGGAGTTGCTGCATTCTGTAGGTACAGAAGCAGCCTTCAGAGCACATTTTATTTGAAAATTCTTGATAAGCAATGCAGTGACACAAGAAAGCTTTTGGCAAAGCTTCAGGAATGGTGCTTTAGTCTGAAATGTTTTTTAAAGTTTTCTTTTTTGAGATAAACTGACAAGGCAAACAGAATGAATCACTTTATTTGATCTTAAATCTTTTCAGTAACTTATGTCATAGAATTATAGAATCATTTATATTGGAAAAGACCCTTAAGATCATCCAATCCAACTGTTAACCCAGCACTGCCAAGTCCACCACTCAATCATGTCCGAGTGCCCCAGCTAAATGTCTTTTGAATACCTGCAGGTGTTTCAGTGGTTCCTCCACCATATTCCTGGGTCACCTCTCCTAATGCTTTACAACCCTTTACATGAAGAAATTTTTCCTAAAATCCAAATTAAACCTCCCCTGGTACATGAGGATGTTTCATTTTGTCCTGTGCCTTGTTACTTGGGAGAAAAGCCCTACCCTCACCTTGCTCATAACCTCTTGTCAGGCAGCTGTAGAGAGTGAAAAGGTTTTCCCCCCTCTGCCTCCTTTTTTCTGGGCTAAACACTCCCAACTCCCTCAGCCTCTCCCCGTCAGACTTGTGCTCCAGACCCTTGAGCAGCTTCATCCCCTTTTCTGGATGCACTCCAGCACTTCAGTGTCTTCTCAAGAGAGGCTCAAAACTGGACACAGGGTTTGAGCTGCAGCCTCACCAGTGCCGAGTGCATGGGGACAATCACTGCCCTGGTCCTGCTGGCCACACTACTCCTGATACAGGCCAGGATGCCATGGGCCTTCTTGGCCACCAGGACATACATTGGCTCATGTTCAGCTGCTGTAAACCAGCATCCCCAGGTCCTTTTCCTCCAGGCAGCTTTCCAGCCACTCTGCCCCAGCCTGTAGCACTGCCTGGGGATGATGTGACTCAGCACTTGGGGGTTGAACCTCATTCAGTTGGACTCAGCCCATTGGTCCAGCCTGTCCAGACCCCTCTGTAGAGCATGTCCTTGTGCTGCCAGGAACATCCCAAGCATAGAGTGTGTTTTGGTATTATGGTGAGTATGATATGTTAGAGAGTCATAAAGTTGCAGTGTTAAGTACATATTGAACAAATTGCTGCCAGAATTTCTTCTTCATGATATCTTGAATGACAGTGATACATAGTTGGTTTCCTGAGTACTTGGGTGTAAAAAATAGGTTGTACAGGTCAACCCTTAAATTACCTTTGTTGTAGGTGTTCCCCACATCCCGTCCTTTATGCTGTTAGATACAAGGTGTTCTATCCCTTGATCCAGAAATCTAGTTTCAGATGCAGGTGAGCACCACTAGGATTGGGAAGGCTCACTGCTTTGAGGCATTCTGAGAAAAGACACAAAGCAGGGAAAATGTCAGAGAGAGTGGGATTATGTAGAGGGATGTGAGAAATGCAAAAAGATTTTCTTTCCTGGATCCTTTGGCATCTGGTTAGTTGGTAGAAAGAGCACTGGCAGCCACTGTTGTAGGGACTGCAAGTAATAAGGCTAGTTCCTGTTTTGACTTTGATTAGAGCTGCTTTGGACAGTTCCTATATGGAATTTAAGGCAAAATTTAAATTCATACTTCCAAGGCTTGTTAAAGAGTTTTCAGAATGGTATGTTGAGTTTACTTCTTGAAAATACATTAGCCTCATCATAGAGTTTTTGCAAAAAACCCCAAAACACAGACTGAAACAACTACCCCAAACCCCTTAATTTGTCTTCAATGCTGAATTGTTTTTGATAACAGGAAATAGATCAGAACTGCTTATATTTGTATAATCCTGGATAATTTTAGCTTCTCTTGAAAGTTAATCGTAATGCTTACATTCTGTGTCCTAGTTTTCTCCTGGTTCATAGGAAAAACAACTCTCTGACAAAATAAAGATCTTTCTTTAGCTATACTGCTTCTGTTTTCATGCCTGTGCTTGATTATGTCAACAGTTTCACACAAGAAATATAATTGACAATCTCAGTGGGAGGCTGTATAGGGACAAGAACTTGGTTATCATCTCTTCCAGCCTGGAGGGGATTCAGATGGAGGCTCCTACTGCATCACATTTCTTCCTCCTGGGAATTTTTGTTCCAAAAAGAGGTTGGTTTAGCTAGGGGTTGTACCTGGTCAGAGAACATGGGGTATTTCCATTGAATCAAGTAAAAGAGTAGGAGCTTGGTTTATCTGAGAAAGTTGCCATGACAGAGGATAGTCTGAAACATAGCAGGTAAATAATTTTTTTGCAAATTTTCTGAAGGTCATGTTTTTGTAGGTTTGAGTTTGTCCAAAGGGATATTTTTTTGTTTTTACTTTTTTTTTTTCTTTTCTTTTCTTATAACTGCTTTGCATCTCCATTAGGTTAACAAGGACGAACCCACTTTTAAATGTTAGGGTCTGACTGCAGAAATCCAGTGGAGCCAACTCTTGAGAGCTCCCCAAATCCTACCTATGTTTTCCTCTAAAAAATCTGAGGCTGATGCTAACTACCATTAAGAGCT